TGGGCACCCAGGAAGATCTTGTATATGTAGTGTGTTAAGATCTAGAGACGCGGCGGCAAGGTACGCAAAGCACGAAGGCGAAGTCGGGATGTATCGGGGAAAACTGGTGTAATGAAGCGGGAGTATGGAACCAGTGCGCTGTCTTCTTGTGCTTGCCCGGAGTGGGCACTCATGTTGGATGGTTGGGTAGCTGATGTGAAGTGGGGGCAAGGAAGGAAATTGGGTTTCTGCATACCCGCGCAGCTTTAGCACCAAAGGTGATTTAAGCCTGCCCACACAGTAGGGCACGACAGACCGATTTAATGGGTCTTGTAGCCTCTTTACCCTACCGCAGTCACGTGAGTATGTACCCTTTGCGGGGTTGGGTTGCGTCACTGTCGACTGCCAAAGTAATCACAACTGCGAGCCACATCCGGCCATAACCACAGTGAAGACGGGCAGTATTAGAGCTCTTCTCACAAGAGACTTCTGGCCACATCCAGCCTAAGCACAGCGAGTGTCCAAAATTGTTGGCCACATCCGGCCTCGTAAGCAGCTTGTGTGGGATGTTACTGGCCCCTCCAGCCTATAGCTGTCGGCTGTCGGTCTTTACCGGCTCCAAGCAGGGGAGAAAAATATCGGAACCGTTAGTAACCTTAAGCAATTGATGCGCGAGATCCAAAAAACTGCCCGGCCCATGCGGCCGCCTAAGCAGTCTATGCGCGAGGTCCAAAAAACTGCCCGGCCCATGCGGCAGCATGAGCCGTCTATGCGCGAAGTCCCAAAACTGCCTGGCCCAACCGGCCACATAAACAGGCGATGCGCGAAGTCCCAAAACTGCCTGGCCCAAACGGCCACATACACAGGCGATGCGCAATTCCACGAAAACTGCCTGGCCCAAACGGCCACATAACAGGCGATGCGCAATTCCACGAAAACTGCCTGGCCCAAACGGCCACATAACAGGCGATGCGCAATTCCACGAAAACTGCCTGGCCCAAACGGCCACATAACAGGCGATGCGCAATTCCACGAAAACTGCCTGGCCCAAACGGCCACATACACAGGCGATGCGCAATTCCA